TTTCCGAGATACTTGACATGAAATGGGAAGCTGAAACTGAATGGACCTCTTTTGTGGTTAGTGCAATGGTACGCGCTATCGTTAGCTCTTCGAATCCTTAACGTCCTCACCGCCCTGTTATCGCAGACCTGTTCGGTCGTAATGGGTGAGTAATGTGTCTGAATGCTCAACCATCCTTTCTCATTATGCGAAGGTATTCACGCGGTAACATTTGGGATCTGTATGCATATTCTGGGGAAGCGGAACAGAGCATCATACAAATATAACCTATTCGCCAACACTTCGATCTTTCTTCTCGCATCAATGTCACTCGTTGTCCGCACATCAACGGATATGTTTTACTTGGATCCGTCTCAAGGTCTCACACCATTCACTGAATGGTGTTCGCATCTTTCTCCATATATGGGTCCAGTCAGTAGGTACGGAACGTCCTGATTTCTGCCATTCACTGCCACTTTACAGGTTACCTTGTTTAGTGTTGTAGCGGACACCATTCTGGTAGCAGTGAAAGTCATATCCTTCTTTCGAAGTGTTCGCTCACGTTTCTTTACTAGTTATCGCGATGCTATGTAGTTTGGGGGAAAAAACGAAAAGTTATTATTGTCCCCGTCATGTCATCGGTGATTTGCCATGGTATTTATTCATTCACTTGTTGATGATCACTTCCTTATGAATATCATTATCTATACAGTTGTTATACTCACGTTCGACATCTGGAGCACCATTGATGTCACTTACTTCCATCCCAGTGAAACTATCATATATTCGGTCGCACTGGGAGGGATCGCGATGAACAACCTATATCTTTCTTATCTTATTGGTAAATTCTTTTCCTCTGTGGTTTGATATCTCACTCATAATTGCTATAGCTTTCAGGATCTATAGGACAAGTCACCAAGTCGTCCAATACGTCGGTAATAAATCCCGATATATGTACCGAACGATCATTTCTGCAACGTGAGCTGAACAGTTGCGTACGAGGAAGCAATGTGATGACAAGTTTCTGTCCCTATAGCCTCGAATCTGGGATCTTTTATTCCGCCTTCTTGATCACGATTGTGGCCATTGTTATTTACTCATACGTTTCCCTCAAGCCTGAGCATCAGAGTTATGATTTTCGAATGTTTTACGTTGAGGAATTCCTGTTAGCCATGTGGCCTTCCATTTCTGTGAGTGATCATACTTATCGCATTACTCAAAATCCGTGAACGAGTTAGCTAGGGTATCACGACATCTATTGTCATTATTCGCGTTAGCTTGGGGATCGCTTTTAGCGATTTGGAGACCGAACTGATGACGGCCCAAGAATCGAATATGGCGGTGCCGAGGCCATCTACGGAAGCAAATCGTAATATCAGAGAGCCAGATGAAGAGAGCCATTCTCGTAGTGTCATTGTTATTGGACAACCGGATCATGTCTAGGCTGGGAGCAGTTCTTAATGCTCGGTGCAGGAAGGGCAGCATCTATGGGTGTAGAACGATGAATGCTCATATTACTTCTGGCGGAGTTGCACCGTTTACAAACGAGTACGAATATGTGTAGTGTTCAATTGGTATCATCTTTAAATCCTCTTCGTTCATGGATCCTCGGACCAGCCAATGGGCATGCAAGTGACGTGGACACAGGATGATCGCGATATCTTGATACGGAGAGTCGTGTTGTTATCATTGTTGATACATGTGGAGCATACGAGCGCCGCAAGTTCATGAACTCTTCACAGCCATGATTCAATCCTTTCTTGCACGTTCTCGACTTGTGATGTTTGCTGTCATCAGTTCGGGCTTCATCTATAATTTGCGAGATGGGTGGTACTTGTCCTAATCAATAATACCACTGTGAGATTGTGCGGAATGAAGTTTTTGACTTGGTGAGCTCGAAACGGCCTAGCTGTCGAAGATTCTTGAGATATCTGGTAAGCGCGGTGAGAACACTGGCGTTACACACCTGAGAATCGCATTATGGTTGAAGCTACCTTGCGTTTTATTCCTTTTCTCCACATATCTCCAAATTATACGGCAACAAGTGCATCTGGAATGTAGAATTTACTGGAGTAAAGATTCGTGGTATCTTTTCATTTGATGTCGTTTTGAACGAGCATTATTCGATAGCTGTGGTCTCGGAGAAATTTAACGCTCGTTCAGACGAGTGCTCTCGGACTGTGCCACTTACGGATGGGAATCGTGGCTCTGAGGAATCCATGTAGGGTCATTGGAATGACGCATGGATAATCCAATAGCTGTCATTGGAATGGATGGCCGGGGCTTCCTTTGCCTGGACTCATTCCAATGAGGTCGTGCGAATTTAAATAAGTAAAATAAACTGTACAGAATTGAATTGAACGTAGGACCTAAAGGAAAGGCTTAGATAATAGAAGACCGCGGGGACACGCAGACCACTGAGCTATTAATGTTACTACTTCTGCTAGGTTTTATCCCCTAACGCTAACCGCGGGGGCGTTCCCCCCCCGCACCCCCCCCTTAAAAATATGCCTATCCCCAGAAATTTGACCCTGCTCCACTCCAAAATCCATATGAGCAAGAGATTCTAAAGATCTGGACATTAATTTTTCTCCGACAGCGCTCTTTACAAGAACGAAATCTTGGGTTTCAGTCGGCTCCCTAAACCAGGTGATTGTGAAAGGGACGGCTAAAATGACTGCTGTTGGTAATGGTGCGATACTAAAAGCCTTTGCCGCTCCCAGCCCTTCAATCACCATAATGAGAATAACCCTAAGTATAGAGAGTTCGGCGAATTTAAACTCGAACGGACGTGTTGCTTACCGCAATGTTGGTGTCATCGAGCCCAAGGTGTAGTTCAGCGTTGATGAGAACCAAAGTTTTTGAGGCGGGGGGTCAGAAAGGGGAAGAACCATGCGAAGTCGACACTTATTTTGTACTACCATCATGATGTTTTGTCACAGCCACGCGTATCGCAACTTGGAGCAGTGCAGTAATGAGTGGCGAAGCTGAAGAGGAGTCATGAGCTGATCATGGTTTTGGTGACCAGGATAGACTGGGAGTCAGGAGGCATTGGCATATTTGCGTTGGGATAGGCCACCGGGAATTCTGGATGAAATGCTGCTACTGCTCTCAAGTCGTTCACGATGGAGATGCAAATACAGGAGCACATACCTACGTAGTTCAAGTGAACAACGCCAAACCTGTCTTCTGATATCCCCGACACCCTACTACAGGTTCAAGTTGATTAAGTCAATGGACTTGGGCGGTCCTGAAGCGCGAGATGAAGCTCTATGGTCATGATGCTAAAATTCTCGGAGACGTGTGGTATGTGGAGTAACAACGAACATGATGTTTGTATTTCCGAGCCACTCAGGACACCTGGTTGCGGAATACCGCGAAAGGGAGTATTTGCGGGGGCGAGATGAGATTTCATTGCTGCTTGATGAGTTATATTCAAAGGCAGTTCATTTACGTCACCTCTCTCGTGCAATGGCCACATGGCTTATGGCCGTCTATCTCCGCGGATTTTCCTTCGGGGGCAATGTCAGGGACGGAGTGTGTGTTTAGATAGGAGTTGCAGATCAGAAGCACCTGCAGGCTGCCACATGTCTATCTCTGACAACATGTACTCTTCATCATATACCGTGACGCCTTTTATATAACGAGAAATAGAATCACTCATCGCGTTGACCGGGGTGGTGAGGCTATGAACGGAGTCAATAAGGGTCCAGAGTTTCCGGTTGGAAGACTTGATAAATGTGCGTACCACTGTAGAGATCCCTAGTGACACGGCGAGAAGCTCGAATCGGAGAAGGTAGGGGTATCACTTGTTCACGTCGTCTTGACTGTGGTAGTTATGGTCCTTCAAACTCAAAAGCAGCACTGCTTACGAGCCGGACGATCTCGTACATATACTTCGTGCGCACAAGACAGAGTTTGGACAGTTCGTGTCCTAGGGCTGGATGAAATGAGGTGATCTAGTCCGATCGTGTGGAAAAGGTCGATATTTGAACTTTGAAAAGTAAAGGACTCGAAGACGTGTGATGAATCCTGCAATGTAACCGAGGGTGATACGCACCTGATAATTGCATTTCCCTCTACCAGTGACACCTGATCGCTGAATACCGCAAAAGGGTGTTTGCGAGGACTACATAGATCGGGTTGTGCCGCTGCTATGGGAGTTGCAGTACAAAAACAGTTTGCTGGCGTCATCGTCCTCGTGTATTGGCTACATGGCTTATGGCCGTCTATCTCCATGCTTTATTTCCTTCCGGGGCGATTAAGAATTGTGGAGTATCGACTGGGAATAGAGTTTAGAGCACTATCCAAGTAATGACTAGAGATAAATAGGCATCCGCGATGGTACGTTCGAGTGATCCAGCACCGAAAGCCTTTGTATCGAGGAAGGCAAAAATTAGATGGAACGTCCATTGTCGCTCTGCTCTCCTTGCGAGCGACGTCAACACTCCTACATAGCTGTTTTGATAACGAGATCTGGAAGAAAGGGTCCAAAATGAATTTTCAAGCTCTGTCTGGCCAGGTAAAGACTGGAGCATGTGCATCCGGCGTCAGAGTTCATTGGAGCAAAGATCCGTGTATCATTTCACAGGGTGTTGTCTCAAAGAAGCTTCCGAGTCGTTCTGTCGCCAAGAGTCAAACATAGCGCTGAGATTACTTGACGAAAAGAACAGTACATAAGGGTCTTGAGCGATTCGAAGGCTTGACAATTGAGCGCACCAATGGTCGAGATCTTGATCATGTTTGGTTCGGTTCTTAATGACATGGTGAGAAGCTAGATAAAGCGGGGATGCACATTCCAGGTCCGACTTGAGGACCGGAGGCCGCGTATTGCTCTTCGCGTTCTGGAGTATTGACTCGGACTAGAATTCGGGAACACCTAAGTAATGGGTAGAGAAGAATAGCAACGATGATTCGGTACTGAAAGTCATGGCATTCGTTGGTGTTTGGATTTGTATATCAAGGTAGTACGCGGTCTCGAGAGTCGAAGAAAGCAAAAATCGTTATGGCGCACAGTCAGTAGCCCACCGCGAGGGTCGAACTCGCAGCCTTCAGATCACCGCTTTGGGGGAACACGTATAAGAGTCTGACGCTCTATCCGATTGAGCTAGGCGGGCCCGCAATGGTAAGAAGGCGTAAAAAATTGGATGCCACGTGATTTGTCAGGCACATTTGATGACGCAAGCAGTTTGTTGATTTTTGAACTGCAACGCCCATCGTCGTTTTTCTGCTCTCGCTCACAGATATGTTGGAATGTGACTGGATCAAGGTAAATTTTCTCGTCGTCTTTCTGCTTTTTGTATTCTCATTCATCGTCGCTAGTTGAACGTGCTATTCGACAACTCCACGTCCCTTGAGCTACCGACGTCGACGACCTGCTCAAGATGAAAACTGCCCGACTTCTCGTCAATCTCCGAGTCCCAAAGCGGCTGGGCCAGCTTCACCATCGATTTCGCTTGGTCAGCAACGGCTTCTGAAGATCTGCATCCTTTCCCAAGTACAGTCGGAAAATAGTCCAGCCGATTGAAGGTGGTTAGGGTCGGAAACGGCTTTCAGGTGATCGACAACCTCATTGTCGGTTTCGCTGGCCAACTAACGACTGGTACAGATCTACACACCCCTATGCTCGATACTTCCTCCCTTTTCATCTCACTACGCCATATGCGGATCGACTCGCTCTGTTCCACCTTGTTACGTTCTCTGCGTTGGAATGGGGGTTGGGGAAGGAAAATGCGAGGTTGAGCGTAGATTGGGTCCAGCCACAAAGACTCCCCCCTCCGCACCGACGCCCATTACCACATCCTTCTCTCCCAACGTCAAGCTGATCATACACCTTCCCCCACCGTACGTTCGGCCGCCCTACCGCCGCCCCTCGACACATCGCCTCCTTTCAAGACACGAATTCACACCTCCCTTACCTTCTCACCGTACAACCATCCTCGGTTCCAAGGGCATTGCCCTCGCCGCGCCGTGTTCATCGTGTAACTCCATTCATTACTGGGAGACGGTGAGCGCTCGGGTGTCCTTTTTCCACTCTGCGGGACGCCTGACGGTGCTAGTACCTCCAGGAACCGGCTCAACGACAAGAAAATCAAACGGAACACCCGCCCACCCTCGCATTCTCCGCGCACTCACACCCCGAAACAAGCCCCACGTGCCCAAAGGGTGTAGCTGGGACACAGGGAAGGTGTGTGGCGAGCGTTCCTGGAGGGCCTCAGCGCTGCATATGCCACCGACGCTCCGTGGTTCAACAAAGTGAGTTTGTTTGCTTTCGGAGCAACAAACGTGGGTTGGGCGATGGTTGGAGGTACGCAGTTTCTTGCACCCTGTATTCTTCGTTATCTGATCGACCAGTAGACTCGCTTCCGTTCAGCGGCCTTTCATACGAAGACTACACCTACCCTCTTATACCCATCTATCATTCTCCTTTGCGTCCCCGGGGTCGTATCAGATCAGAAACATTGCGAGCAGAGGAAAGGCTTTCGGGTTCCTGCATCCCCTACTCGGAACAAGAAGTGCACTGGGGTTCAATGCTCGCCATCATCATACACTCCGTTCCTTACATGTTATCCCATACCTGGCTGGCGTGCTTGCAATTGGGTTCTCCACGCGGTATTGGGGTGTCTGGTAAGATAGTGGTGCTATAGTGTAGCGGTTATCACTCGGGATTCTGATTTTGTATTAAGAATTCGTTGCCACTTGTTTCCCGAAACCCAGGTTCGAATCCTGGTAGCACCTCGTTGACATCGAATTATGGGTCTTTTTTGGTGCTGTCTATTTTTTCGTAGATATCCAACAAGGCGTCCTTTTTGAATCACTTCCGACGTTTACTCTGCGTGATGGTTCTCTTTCACCTGGAATCAGATGGGCAGGTTTGGGTATCCTTATTCTCGCATTGACCGTTCCATTTGCTAGATTTCTAGAGTTCGAGTACGTCGGATTTCTATGTAGTGTTAGCTTTACTTATAACTTTACTGTGGTCAGGGTTCGGATACGCCTTCGTAAAACCAATCTATCATGGGTGTTATAGTATTCTGAGTTCGGAAGATGGTACGAATGAACGCTCCAGGGTCAAACCCTGCAATGATGGACTCTTGGGAGTCCTGGTTACCGAGCTAAAGACGTCGAGGAGATGCAGAGGACTATGTGTGCGTTTCAGAAAGTTATGGGGACGTTCTCACTAGTCATGAAGTTGATGGACATTTGGGTCTCTCGACACGTGTGTATCATCTGCTTATTGTAGGTGTTATAGTGGAGAGGTTATCCCGTCAAGATCAACTTTCCGAATCCCAGGTTCGAACCCTGGGAGCACCCGTAGAAGTCTTTCTGAAAGAGTCGTTTTTACAACCTTTTGATTTCATTTTCGACGGCTATTGGATCGTGAAGAGCCGTCTCGCGTTACACGGTGGATAGGACCCTGCAGTGTCAAGTCTTGATATAAGACGGGTAAGTCGTATCTGGTTGATAGGGCGAGTGATTGTACCATCTCGGCATTGAACACGCCCATAGCGATCAAAGCGCATTAGTGCGATAGGAATCGCTCCGTGTAGCGAAGTAGGACAGGGAACGCAAATGGTTTCTATTGTCTCGGAATGGAGTAAAGAAAAGTTGGTTTGGTTTTAATGAAAGGGGACGGAAAATACGTGCGAATCCTTGTTCTCGGCATATACGTGTTTGGATAGTCATTCCACAGGCATTGATGTAACCGTATCGTATATCCCGTGTTGAAGTCGTATCTGATATGGTAAATGATCGTTACGTTGACAAGTTTTATTTAGCCCTGCGCGATCCAACAGGTGTATTGGACGCAAGCATAATCGATATCCGATAGAGCTGTTGACTGAGTGAACGAAGACTTGGTTTTTGAGGCAGTTGCACTTTGATGGGGTGCGCACCTTCAAGGGAATCACAGCGTCAGCCATGGAACCTGGCGACATTCCAGTTCATCACACCATCGCTGTAGTTCCTTTATTCTTCGCTATCTGCATTCAGGCCCGTGTCCTTGAAAGGACTATTGATGCACTCAGTGTTGGAGAATCAGATGATTCAATCACACCTTTGATTCGAGGGTACAGATGTGCACAGGTACTTTCATACATCATAGCGATGATCATTACATACATTGTTCATATCATCAGCATCAACAGCCATGTGGTAATCTGCATTCGTCTTCATCATGATAACTTACATTGTCCTTCCAGCACCTCTCTGGATTTCACCAATCGGATTCCTGTTAATTGCCGTGGATAGTCTACTCTTTCCTCGCTCGTCGGTAAAGTACCTCATCGATGAAAATTTTTGTCGTGAAATTGATTCACTATCTGATCTTGACCGCCATCTTCGCCTCGGCTTTCTCTATTGATCTCGGTGAGTGCGTTGCTAACTAATAATATGGAATAATTCGATTGTTCAATGCGATTCCTATTGCTGGTCGTAAAGCTGAGAACAGATGTACTATGCTTCGATTCCAGGTACGCACGTACGCTAGCATTGGAGAGCACAGCGGCAATGAGTCTTTTGCCGTTGAGGTTTAGGAATGCGAGGATTGTTATTGGAGAGAATATGGGCCTAAACTTTCACGATACTATGCTCTTGTTCCGCTCAGATAGCTCAGCCACGAATGACGCAGCACGGGCAGGTGGGGGGGGGGGGGGGGGGGGCCCTGCCTCACTTCTCGTTATCCTTAATAGATTCCTTATCGCCTTGAGCATTGATTCGTTTACAACTCGGACGCCACTAGATTGCAATTGGAGCGTCTCCGCATGACGAACGCGATTTCGGGGGACAGATAGCCACAATGCTGAATTGAAATTATTGGGATTTCTCCCGATCAATGATATTGGATACAGTGTCAGCCGTATGATGTGGAGCACAGGGTGAATGCTTCACTCTACTTGAGGTATACCCGAGTCAACCAAAGCTGACGTTACTTGGATGGTTATACAGTACTATCGATGATATTGTACCTTGACTTCGCCATATCGAGTGTTGATCGGGATGTCAGGCGAGGGGCCTAGCCGCGCGTACGTATTCAACCTCCCGCTCCCTGTATCCAAGGCGAGTGTCATTGCAGTAAAGCTATACACACAATACCCCTTAGATACTAGACATAGAAGAACATCTCGACCCCGCAACTTTGTGGTCCTGTATCGGTTGTCGTACGTAACGCGTCTGCGTCAACTTCACCACACACGGCTGCGTATGACCTGTGTATATTCGAGTAAACGAACAGAAGAGCTACGAGGAGCTAAGCCGACGCGGGCGACATGGTGGTAAAGAAGCAACAAACGGGTAAGGTACGTAACATGAGTAAGCGAAAAGATATCCCTGATATGAGCGCTGAAACCAATGACGGCTACCACGTCCGGCTGTATATTCGTAATTCGCGTTGAAGTCGTATCTGGCTGGTATAGCGAATGATTGTTGAGATTGTGATCAATCACGATTCATGTTCTCTGTTTTGCGAGTTAGAGACAACAGGTGTATCGATGCAACGATCGATGATGCTGTCGACACTTGGTTTTTGAATCAGTTGGAATTGGATGCGCCCCTCGAAGAATCAAAGCGTCAGCTAGGGAACATGATGACGCTCCTGTACATCATAGTGCATTCAGTGTTGGAAAATTAGATCATCCGATCACCCCTTTGATTCGAGGGCACAGATGTGGAAGGGTATTTCCATACATCACAGCGATGATTGCTACATTTGATGTCCATATCGTCAGCTGACTAGAGACCTTGTCTGCCTTGCATCTGCTCGCTTTCCTCGATATGTACACCTTCGGGGATCTCGATGGAATCATTCCTGGCCGGGTGTATCATCGAAATATGCTGATAATGGCAACAACGAGGCGATTGGCAGTATTATACCTGCAATATTGGTAGATGTGGAGTTCACATCCGATACTAACTGTTTGTAACTATGGCTGCGGAAACTTACGCCACTGATCAATTTGTTCAAAATATAATGGTGATCCCCAGACAGGGTATACTGGGTCGTTATAAAATTCACGTAACGCATGTAAGTAACATTACTGACATTACTTACTGTTACTTACATGTCACTTACATATCACTTACATTTTACTTACATCAAATAAAAATTGACTATAAACCATGTATGAGCTATCCTCTAAGTCTCTTCTGACTGATATCATGCTCTAGGCATGGTCCAGTCGTGCTTCACCCACTACAAAGGTGCACATTTCAGGTTTCCCACAGCTCGTAAGTCCAAATGATTGGTGAGAGAATTTATATTACCACTACCCGCAAACGTATTTTCATCTTGAGTGAGCACATAGCTGTGACATAGAACATATATCGTTCTCTATTGAGTATAACGGACAAGGTTTGCCGGAGAATGCAATAATTTGCCTAATTCAAACCTCCTAGATGACCTATATGCGTCCTACAGTGTTAGCGAAGTATTTTGAGGTTGAAAAAACTCTTTGAGGGACATTGAATGTCATTGAGTAACTACTTACATGTTACTCACCGTTACTCCCCATTACTTGCATGTTACTTACAGTTACTTGCATGTTACTTACGCGTTCCTTTCAGTTACGTACACGTTACTTGCATCCCCTGACACGTTCCTCACAGTTACTGACATGTACCATACATTTGCTTACAGTTCCCTTAAGTTTGCCTAAATGCAAGTAATGTTACTTGCACTCCCAATCTTCACACTGCGTCGACGAGCGCCATCTAACACCCAGGACCAGCGCCGTTGCGAGCAAATATCTCGGCTGGTTTAGACCAGGGTCGTCTTTGCTGAGTCCTTGATGACTACATTTGATTTCATTTTGGGCCTTTGACCATCAATAATGGCATAGAGAATTTTTTCAGTTAAACCTATTGCACAACAGCACGTTGTCTCTATGGAGGCGACTCATAGTCCTCATCGCATCGGGAAAAAATGTCAGCGCTAGTTAGGTGCTTAATTGACGTCAGAGGCAACTCTTCACCTCTTCACCGCGAGCAGGAAGTATGGGTACATTTCAGGACTCTAGGTATGTTTGGAGATAGCGTTACGCTCTTCTGAGCGTTATCCAATCAATTTTTCAATTATTACACTGGAACTACCTTTCAGTACTTTCTAATGTCCGTAACGGCCGTTATTGACACCATGTCAGTAACGTTGCTTACATGCGTTCCTTGAATTTAATTTCGACCACTGAAAGGACATCTTAGCCGTTGTCAACGGGTCTCCCGTATTGATGTAGGAAGCTGGATTCATATCTGTTCAATGCAGATCCAATATTGACTGCATCGCCTGGCGATCAATCCGAGAACGAGTGCTGATGAGATTAATATTCAGTATATAATGAGAGTTGTTCCATATTGCATATCCTACCGCCCACCAGAATTATGATCAAATCTTATTATCCAACAATGTTCTTGGTGTCCGCTGTGGTATGCTCCCGTCGGTTCAGGAGTTGTTCTGTTACTCACTATTTTTGTCATGTTTCAGGTGAATGCCGGCCTCTATGGTGAGCGAGCCTCGCTGGGATGTTTGAAATCTATCTGATATCCTTCAAGGTATCTACATGGTGATATTTGGCATATGCACTCACATTTTGGTCAAGCGTGGAAAGACACTGCAAAAGTACAATTTGCTCGCAAACGCTATAATCTTTGCTGGAGCATCGGTGAACCTTGTATTCATTACATCAAACGATGTTTCGTCGTTGCGGTCAGTATCGGTTCTTGAGTCAGTCCTACCTTGTCGATGATTCCACTGCTTTTTTTGATTAGCGTTTTCAAAGTGGATTTGAAATTCCATTTGAATCCTCACTAATTTTTGGTTTTACCTGTAGGTCAGCTCATAGCCCAGGCCACTCCTGTCTGCTGTAACCTAGCTAATTATTAGATTTCAGTTGGGTAGCCGACATCATTCTGGTAACTTGACGAAAGAAAGTTGTTGGAGATTACTAATATTTGCTTGTAGCTGTGGCGATGTTACATAGTCTGGGGAAAGAGATGGAGAGTTGTCATCTCCCCATCCTTATTTTCCATTGGCTTTCATGGTAGATATTCATCGCTTTCATTCATACGCTCACTCATACCTTCGATAGTTGTATTGCTATTACCTGGCAACGCCTATGTGGCCTACGCAGGCGGAATAGGGGGAATTGCACTAAACAATTTATTCCTCTCCTGCCTTATAGGTGCGCTACTTCACCTTTTATCTCTTGTGGTAAGAGGTTACTGATTACATCAAGCCTTCAAAATATTCTCAATTGCTCGTCAAGTTACGCAATACTGAAGCATTTCAATCAATTCGAACGGGGGTGTGACCTGTGACCCGGTCG